ACTTTAAACTTTTGCTCTCAACTATGGATGTCCCACAAAACATCCCTATTCTTTACACGTTTTCTCGACAATACCCCGACATCGTTACTTTCAAAATGTGAAATGACCCGTCCTTTTTTTTGTGGAAAACAAGGAGATATTTCAGTTGGAAAAAAAAACCTCCCAACCAGTGGAAAAAAGAGAGCCCTCAGTTCCATTAGATAGTGTTGAGATTTCTTTCTCAAGCCATTCCTAACCCACTACCTAGCTGTGCAGTGCAGAGAGAGACCCGATTCCCCTCTACTTTTACCTTAAAAAAAGCAACAAAAATTAGCATGAGATAGTGTATATTTACTCTGAGCTCAATATATTCCAACTTAACGCTGACTGCTCAACTGATGGACACCCGCACGTGGCAAGAGGTCCCCACCTGCACACAGCCAACGTGTAAAAGCCCCCCACCCACTTGTCACTCCACCAACACTGACCTCTCCCTCTCGCCCGCCAACACCCGGTCCCACCCCAGCATCCATCTAAGCACGCATTTTCGCGGAACGCGTCCCATTCACGGGCACCAGAAAACTGACCCATATTCGAACCCAAACGTTTGACCCAAACGAAGAAACGTTGACTAACGGGAGTACATGTGAAATGTCTCCCTCCTATTACATAATGAGCTGGTCATCATTAATAATATCCAGCTCATTATGTAATTATAGGAGGGGAACATCTCACATGCTCATGTTGATCCTATATTTTGGATCCCTGTAGCAAAGCTCTTACCCCCACCTAAAAACCGTTAAGGAAAATAGACACATCGAAAGGGGCTTTTTGTAAATGTCGTCACCTTGCCGTCGTACTCTCGCCGAGAGAGAACCTCGGGTGCAATATACGCCGGCGTCCCCACCGTAGATTTGGGCCTCGAGTGGAGCACAGACGACTGTTTCAACAAATCAAATTTTTTTTTTTCATTTCAGCACCACACGATTTAGCAAATTACACAATTTTGCGCTCTGAGAAGAAATTATCAGTAGAGACCTTGGAGTATCCGAAATCGCAAATCTTGAGCCTGGGCGCCGGGCTCCCATCGAGCAGGGTGTTCTCCAGCTTCAAATCTCTATGACATATTTGCTAATTTTCGCAAAAAAAAAAGGCAAAAAATATTGTTTAGTTAAGGACAAATTTTGAAAAGCAACTCATTTACAAAATAATTATAAAAACGAACTCTTTGAAACTTATTTGTCAAAAGCAACTCAGTTTCAACCAACTGATCGAAACTAGGTCATTTTTGACAAAAAAAATATCAAAAAAAATATCAAATTTCACGGGAAACACCAAACTTGTTATGTAAAAAACTTTCGTGAATTTTGGTATTTTATTTCATAAAAAACGACCCGGTTTCAGCCAACACGCTTTTGTTAAATAAGTTTCAAATAGATCGTTTTTAATGAATAAGTTTGAAAATATGTTGGTTTTCAAATTTTGTCTTTTAATTACCTGTAAATAGTAAATTTATTAGGAGGTTTTTGTCAGTTTATGTACCATGAAGTGGCAGTAGCTGACTCCGCAAATAAGCTGCTGGAAAAAATAACGCGCCTAAAAAAACAAAAAAAAAATATATACCGTTAATTCTCACAACTCTTTCCAATTTTACAAAAAATAATGATAATTATGCAGAAAAGGACCTCATCTTCGCTAAATCTCCCGGCGTTGCAGATCCTCTCGAAAAGCTCGCCGCCGCCGGCGTACTCCATCACGATCGCCAGGTGCGTCGGCGTCAGCACGACCTTCAAAAAATCCAACAGACGATACCATGAAGTGGCAGTAGCTGACTCCGCAAATAAGCTGCTGGAAAAAATAACGCGCCTAAAAAAACAAAAAAAAAATATATACCGTTAATTCTCACAACTCTTTCCAATTTTACAAAAAATAATGATAATTATGCAGAAAAGGACCTCATCTTCGCTAAATCTCCCGGCGTTGCAGATCCTCTCGAAAAGCTCGCCGCCGCCGGCGTACTCCATCACGATCGCCAGGTGCGTCGGCGTCAGCACGACCTTCAATAAATCCAACAGAAGATTCAAAAAAAAAAAAAAAAAACCCCGAAAAATCGCGGAATCGCATCTCTAACTAAACCCTAGCTCCAAATTAACCTCTTTGAACCGGATTATGTTCGGGTGCCGCAGCGACCGGTGGTTGATGATCTCCCGCGCCACATTCTCGTCAACCTGAAACCACAAAAGCCGAGGTCAGATCGAGAACCGTACGTACGGCCGGGATTTTTTGACCCGACGAGATCCAGACCTTGTGGCCCCTCTCGATGTACTTCACGGCGACGAGCTCCCTGGTCCCCTTGTTCCTCATCAGCCTCGCCACCCCGAAGTTCCCCGATCCGATGTCCCTCACGAGCTCGTACCTCTCCATCGCCGGCCCTAGCTAGCTCATTCGAGGAAAGCTAGGGTTTTTATGGGCGGAGGGCTGCGCTGGGAATCGAGGCACGTGGGATCACCGCTGCTGGTTTCTGGTGACGACGATGATGGTGACGATGATTTCGGACGATTTCTTTATATTATTATTTTGTTGCTTTGTGTTTTTTTTTCTTTTGCGGTTTTTTTTTTTTAAATCGTTTAATTTTGGGTTTGTTTTGATCTGAGAACGAGGGTTTCGTTGCTGTTTCTTGAGAGGGTTGGGAGAACCGTGGGAATATTTGAGGTTTTGGAGAACGACGGGAGTATTTGATGGGGGTGGGGCCCATGAGGAGTATTTATAAGGCTAAATATCAGCAAACACCCTCAACCTTGGAAGATTAACAGAAAAACCCCCATAACTTGCGAAACATCAGAAATTATCAGAAAAGGCCCTTTAACTTTAAATTTTTTAGTGGAAAATCCCTTTAACTTCGACAGTTTATCATAAAACCCGGTAGGAGCGACGCTTTTAGGGGCTTTTTGGCTTTTAGGGGGTTCTCTTATGCATCTCAAAGTTAAAAGGGTTTTCCTAAGAACCCCTAAACTTAAGGGGCTTTTCTGGTATTTTTAAAGTTGCGGGGGTTGTCATCCGTAGTTAAAGGGTTTTTTTTCCCTGATATTTAGCCTATTTATAAAGCTGCTACATTTGTGAGAGCTCTTAATTTGTTTTTGGGTAAAATTCACAAAATCACGTTAACCTTTGGGGTTTTTGCACAAAAGCACGTGGCCTTATAAATTTTAGTGTAATCCTTCTGGACTTTCAAAATTCTACTGAATTTATGGTTAGGATTAGAAAATCTTATGAAGGAGAATTATGGTGAGAGTTGTGATTTTCTAACATGCCCTTATAGATTGAAAGCCTCTTTAGGACAGAACCCCCAACCCAACTCATGCAATGCAAAGGTACCAATTTTGTTTAAAAAATTTGCTTTTATTCGTGGTAATTAGATTCGAACTTTGGATTACTCTAATACCATGTTAAAATCCACAACCAATTATACCTGTTGTAGTGCTTCAATTATTGAGTAATAATCTCCATTCAATAGCAGACAAGTGTCCCGCATTAACTACCTAATTAAATCAATTCACCAGTTCGAGGTAACCAAAGTCCCCAGCCCGCCATAGGTCATCACCCGGCCCGTGATATACGTGGGTCACAGGTCGGGCTGGGTCCAACTCCAAACCCAAGACTAGAGAAATAAGCCCGACCCACCATCGACCCGGCCCGGCCTAGCCCGACCCGACCCCGAATTTTATAATTATTAGTTTTCAGTTTTTAATTAACATTTTTTTTCTTTTTTTCCTCTTGTATTTGTAATTTAAATTTAAACTAAAGGAAAATTATTAACATTCTGTGCACGTTTGTCTTTATTTGAAGTCCGAACTATGTATATCTTTGTATTTGTAATGTTTTTCTCTGTAATGTTTATCTTTGTACAATGTGTGTGTATATATATCATTTTAAATAAAGAATTAAATAGAACAAATACTTTAAATATAATCTAATAGATACTAATACAAAGTTAATATAGTTTAGAAATTAAAAACAAAAAATTAGAAAAAGTTAAAAACCCCGTGGGCCGCGGGCCAAACCCGACCCGACCCGTCCCTAGGGGGTCATGGGTCGGATCGGGTCTAATTCTAGGCCGGGATCAGAGAAATTGGCTCGGCCCACTCTAAAC